GATATGGCAATATCCGAGTACCACCAGTCGCCTAGCAAGGGGTCAAAAACCTGATGACCACCAAAAAAAAAAAAAGGAAAAAAGTGATAAAGTACAGGTAGTCCTCGACTTACAACAGTTTGCTTAGTGACTGTTCGAAGTTACAATGGCACTGAAAAAAGTGCCCCCCCCAAGCCACAGCCGAGCAAGACACCTGCCTGGCCACCCCATGGCGCTCTTCCTCCTGTCCGAGGTTTTCATTGTTGTGAGCATTTCTGTTGAGGATTGGCAGCGGGGGTGGGTGGGGGGTGTTTGGTTTTTGTCCCCCCCCCCCCCGTCTGCTGGGTGGTTGCAGCAGGTTTTGGTCCCTTCACATGACCCTGGGACACTATGACCGTCATAAATATGAATCAGTTGCCAAGCATCTGAATGTAAATCACAAGACCCTGGAGAGGCTGCAACATTCCAGCTGATCGGTGCCTCTTCTGGGCTCAGCGGAAGCACCAGGATCAGCGCTGAGCTCCAGCTGGATCCTGGCGCTGATCCTGACGCTTCCGCTGAGCCCTGACAGCCCTGCAGCTCCAGCCGTCTCTCGCTCAGGCTTGTGCGGTGCTGCCACCAGTTCAGCTCATTCCCCTCCCCTGCTACCACTTTTCTAGGATGCTCGCGTACCACCTGCCAGGTGCCCATGTACCACAGGTGGTACCCGTACCACTGGTTGAAAAGCCCTGTTCTAGGATATTCCTTCCCTACCTGGGTCGCCACGGGCTCCATCCCTGGAGGTTTTTAAGAAGACGTTGCGCAGCCATTCTTCCAGGATGGTACTATAAGGTCTCCTGGTTGAGCAAGGAAGGAAGGAGAAGCAGAAAGAAAGGATGGATGGAAACATGAAAGGAGGGAGGGAAGGAGGGAGGGAGAAAGCACAGGAGAAAGGGAGAGATATAAAGGGAGGAAAGATGGGAGGGGGGATAGAGAGAGGAGAGAAGGGAGGGAGGGAGAGAGGGAGAGAGGAAGAATGGGAGTAGAGAGGGAGAAAAAGGGAGAGAGGAAGGAAGAAGGGAAAGGGACAGAGGATGAAAGAAGGAAGGGAGTGAGTGAGTGAGGAAGGGATGGAGGGAAGAAGCAAGCAAGGAAGGAAGGAGAGGTAATGGGTGGAAGCTCCTCAGAGGGAGATTGAACCAAGAAATAAGGAGAAATTTCCTGACAGTTAGAACAATTAACCAGGGGAACAGCTTGCCACCAGAAGTTGTGAGTGCTCCAACACTGGAGGTTTTTAAGAAGAAACTGGACAGCCACCTGTCTGGAATAGAATAGGGTCTCCTGGTTGAGCAAGGGGTTGGACTAGAAGACCTCCAAGGTCCCTTCCAACTCTGCTATTCTGTATTCTGTATATCCGGGGTCTTGGTTCTTCTGGAGAACTTGGATGCTTGTCCCATCTAAAGGAGTCTCTCCTTTGGGACAGGCTAGAAACACCCCTTCACCCATAACAGTGTTCCTCAACCTTGACAACCTGAAGATGGGTGGACTTCAACTCCCAGAATCCCCCCAGGTAGCATGGTGGCTGAGGAACTCTGAAGTCCATCCATGCAGGTTGAGGAACTTTGGGAGTTGAAGTCTTCCCATGCTGGATCTAGAACTCTGGGAGTTGAAGTCCACCCAGGTTGACTGGGGAATTCTGGGAGATGAAGTCCACAGATGGTGGCTAAGGAACTCTGGGAGTTGAAGCCCACACATGCTCGCTGAGAAATTTTGGGAATTGAAGTCCACCCATGTTGACTGGGGAATTCTGGGAGATGAAGTCCACACATTGATTGGGGAATTCTGGGAGTTGAATTCCATAGATGGATGGTGGCTGAGGAAGTCTGGGAGTTGAAGTCCACACATGTTGACTGGGGAATTCTGGGAGGTGAAGTCCACAGATGGTGGCTAAGGAACTCTGGAAGCCTACACATGCTCGTTGAGGAATTCTGGGAGTTGAAGTATAATAATAATAATAATGATAATAATGATAATGATAATGATGATGATGATGATGATGATAATGATAATAATAATAATAATAATAATAATAATAATAATAATAATAATAATAATAATAATAAAGTTGGAAGGGACCTTGGAGGTCATCTAGTCCAACCCCCTGCTCAGGCAGGAAACCCTATACCATTTCGGACAAATGGCTGTCCGGTCTCTTCTTAAAAACTTCCAGTGTTGGAGCATTCACAGCTTCTGGAGGCAGGTGGTTCCACTGGTTAATTGTTCTAACTGTCAGGAAGTTTCTCCTTAGTTCCAGGTTGCTTCTCTCCGTGATTAGTTTCCATCCGTTGCTTCTTGTCCTCCCTTCAGGCGCTTTGGAGAATAGCTTGACTCCCTCTTCTTTGGGGCAGCCCCTGAGATATTGGAAGACTTGCTATCATGTCGCCCCTCGTCCTTCTCTTCATTAAACTAGACATATCCAATTCCAGCAGCCGTTACTTATAATATTTTAGCCTCCAGTCCCCTGATCCTCTTTGTTGCTCTTCTCTGCACTCTTTCTAGAGTCTCAGCATCTTTTTTACATCGTGGTGGCCAAAATGGATGCCGTATTCCAAGTGTGGCCTTACCAAGTCAACAGATGGTGGCTGGGGAACTCTGAGAGTTGAAGTCCTCGCATCTTCAAGCTGCCAAAGTTGAGAAACATTGACCCAAAATGTTTTGTTTTCTAGGAGGACCGGGGAAGGCCTGAGGATCTTCTGGGACACTCAGCAAGAGCCAAACTTCCTCGCCCGCTGGAACCCCTGGTCCACCAACATGCCGTACATCACCTTCACGGAGCACCCGGTCAAAAATGGCTGCCTGAGGCTTAGCCCCATCTGTCAGGTGGGTTGGCGAGAGACCACCCCTCAAAATGGGAGTGGTGGGGACGAGGTTGCAAGGAGGAGGACGAGTTTGAGGGGCTGAATTCTCCCAGAGTGGCCGCATTCACACAAGACGCTGGAAGCGGTCACGGATTAACCCGTTTTCCTTCGTTTGCAAAATAGACGGAAAGTTATAGACTGGGCCAGGGGTAGGCAACCTTGGCTCTTTTATGAATCGTGGACTTCAACTCCCAGAATTCCTCAGCCAGCATGGGGGAACTATGGCCCCTTCATGACTTGAGGACTTCAATTCCCAGAATTCCTGAGCCAGCATGGGGAACTATGGCCCCTTTATGACTCGTGGACTTCAACTCCCAGAATTCCTCAGCCAGCGTGGGGGAACTATGGCCCCCTCATGACTCGTGGACTTCAACTCCCATAATTCCTCAGCCAGCATGGGGGAACTAAGGCCCCCTCATGACTCGTGGACTTCAACTCCCAGAATTCCTCAGCCATCATGGGGGAACTATGGCCCCCTCATGACTCCTGGACTTCAACTCCCAGCATTCCTCAGCCACCATGGGGGAACTATGGCCCCTTCATGACTGGTGGACTTCAACTCCCAGAATTCCTCAGCCAGCATGGGGGAACTATGGCCCCTTCATGACTCATGGACTTCAACTCCCAGAATTCCTGAGCCAGCCATGGCTCAGCTTGGAAATCTCTCCCTTTCCCCTCAGCGTGGCTGGCTCAGGAATTCTGGGAGTTGAAGTCCACCAGTCATAAAAGAGCCCAGGTTGCCTACCCCTGGACTGGGCCTTGCGTGCCCCAATAAGCCAGAAAGAACCCAACCGTGGTTAATATACACTGCTTGGAAAGTGGTTCAGGTTTCCAAAGACAAACAAACTCACTTGGGATTCCCGGAACCGAGTTTGATTTGGAGAAAGCTTTTGCAAAAGCTGGCGGGCTTAGCTCACCAAGGAGAAAAAGACCACAATTTTAAAAAGCATATATATTTATAATCTCTCACAAAGCTGGTTTCTCCCCCCGCCCCCCATACACCAAGCATGGTCTATTGCAAGCATACATCTGCTAGGTCTCTACTTGACCTGGTTAAGGGTGATGTGGGACCACTTAACCATAAAGTAGACAAGGATAGTTAGCTAGTATGGATGCATTCGTGCATCCTGCTCAATCTAGCATCCTTAAAGACAGAATGATAAGAGTTGGGAGGGACCTGGGAGGTCATCTAGTCCAACCCCCTGCTCAGGCAGGAAACCCTATACCATTTCAGACAAAGGGCTGTCCAGTCTCTTCTTAACAACTTCCAGTGTTGGAGCATTCAGAGCTTCTGGAGACCTGTGTCCTGACTTCACCCCGTCACTGAACCACAGACTAATCCATCCAGTTGAAATCAGGCCGTAGAAACTAATCTAGGTTAGGTAATAGTAGCCTAATTTAACGAGCTGTACGAATGCCTTTCCCTGACCTAGTTCAGAGAGTTGTGAGAAGAGAAGCAAATATTTTGCAGGAACACAAAACCGATGGGTTTTCAGCTCGGAATCTGCATCGACGCTGTGCAGAACATGTTAAAAATAAGAATTGGGGGATTCTTCCTTCGTCCGTTTTAAGAAGAGACTGGACAGCCATTTGTCTGAAATGGAATGGAGTCTCCTGCTTGAGCAGGGGGCTGGACTAGAGAACCTCCAAGGTCCCTTCCAACTCTGTTATTCTGCTATTCTTTTTTTCCTTCCTTCCTTCCTTCCTTCCTTCCTTCCTTCCGCCCTCCCTCCCTCCCTCCCTCCCTCCCTCCCAAGAGAATGGTAGAGGTTTCCTGCTTGAGAAGGGGGCTGGACTAGAAGACCTCCAAGGTCCCTTCCAGCTGTTATTCTGCTATTCTTTTTTCCTTCCTTCCTTCCTTCCTTCCTTCCTTCCTTCCTTCCTTCCTTCCTTCCTTCCTTTCTTCTCCCTCCCTCCCTCCCTGGGGGTTTTCATGAAGAGACTAGACAGCCATTTGCCTGGAATGGTAAAGGGTCTCCTGCTTGAGCAGGGGGCTGGACTAGAAGACCTCCAAGGTCCCTTCCAGACCCAGGACTCTACGTCCTTCACAGCCCAAAGGCCTTTGAAAAAGCAGCAATTTTACCCATTTGTTTTTCCAACTCGAAGCCGCCCAAAAGAAGAAAGAAAAACTTCATTAAAGGAAGAAAAAAACAACAACCCACCTCCGATTATTATGGTCCGACCGTTTTAATTTTCACTTAATGATCCTGTTTTTGTTTTCGTTTTTAATGGTTTGGCCATCTGAGCTCTAAGTGTTGGGTTGTGGACGTTTTATTTCGGAAAGCGCCGAGATCCCGACGGGTTTAGAAGCCCAATAAATAAACAAACGAATAACCAAATAAAAGAGAAAGCTGAGCTGAGCGGGGCAGAGAAAGGAGCTGGGGAGAATCTGCCAAAAACAGAGAAAAAGCAGAGAAAGCAGCCAAAAGCTGTAAGTCCTCGACTTACGTCCACAACTCGGCCCTCAACTTCCATTGCTAAGCGAGACGGTGGTTTAGTAAGTTTTGCCCCTATCTTACGACCATCCTTGACAGGGTTGTTAAGTGGATCGCTGCAGTTAGTCTCACGGTCGTTAAGTGAATCCAGATCCCCCCCCCTTGACGTTGCTGGATAGAAGGTTGCAAAAGGGGATCACGTGACCCCGGGGGACGCTGCGACCGTCATAAATACGAGTCAGTTGCCAAGAGTCCGAATTTTGATCACGAGACCACGACGGTCACTAAGTGCGAAAACTGGGTCGTAAGTCACTTTTTACAACGGGGTTTTAACGTGGAACGGTCACTAAACAAATTGTCGTAAGTCGAGAACCGCCTGTCATGCTAAGTAAGCTGAGCGTGTTCTGTGAATGGCTGCCGCTAGATCCTTTCCCCCTACATGGACCAAGCAGGTTGGTTGGTTTGCTTCTTCAACTTATCTGCCGCCTGTCCTGCTTGCAATCATTCCGTCGAAGTGCCATGTAAAATGTTAGAACGGAGGCCTTAAAATTTAAAATCCATTTAAAATGAATAAATAGACAAGGCTAGACTAGACTAGAATTACAAAGAATAGAATAGAATAGAATAGAATAGAATAGAATAGAATAGAATAGAATAGAATAGAGAAAAGGAATAGAGAAAAGAAATAGAAAAGAAATAGAATAGAACAGAACAGAACAGAATAGAATATAGAAAATTAGTGGAACAGAACAGAACAGAACAGAACAGAATAGAGAAAAGGAATAGGGAATAGAATAGAATAGAATAGAGTAGAGTAGAGTAAAGTAGAATAGAATAAGAGAATGAATAGAATAGAATAGAATAAATAGAAGAGAAGAGAAGAGAAGAGAAGAGAAGAGAGAAAAGGAATAGAATAGAACAGAACAGAACAGAATAGAGAAAAGGAATAGGGAATAGAATAGAATAGAATAGAATAGAATAGAATAGAATAGAATAGAATAGAGTAGAGTAGAGTAGAGTAGAGTAGAGTAGAATAGAATAGAATAGAATAAGAAAATGAATAGAATAGAATAAATAGAAGAGAAGAGAAGAGAAGAGAAGAGGAGAAGAGAAGAGAAGAGAAGAGAAGAGAAGAGAGAAAAGGAATAGAGAAAAGGAATAGAATAGAACAGAACAGAACAGAATATAGAAAATTAGTGGAACAGAACAGAATAGAGAAAAGGAATAGGGAATAGAATAGAATAGAATAGAATAGAATAGAATAGAATAGAATAGAATAGAATAGGAATAGGAATAGGAATAGGAATAGAGAAAAGGAACAGAATAGAGAAAGAATAGAATAGAGTAGAATAGAAATTAGAATAGAATAGAACAGAAATTAGAATAGAATAGAATTAGAATCGAAGAATAGAACAGAACAGAATAGAAGTCAGAACAGAATAGTATAGAAATTACAATAGGACAGAATAGAATAAAATAGAATAGAATAGAAATTAGAATAGAATAGAACTGAAATTGGAATAGATTTGGAATTGAAGAATAGAACAGAACAGAACAATAGAATACAATAGAAGCTGGAAGGGACCTTGGAGGTCATCTAGTCCAACCCCCTGCTCAGGCAGGAAACCCTATACCATTCCAGACAAATGGTTGTCCAGTCTCTTCTTAAAAACCTCCAGTGTTGGAGCGTTCACAACTTCTGGAGGCCATGAGTTCCACCGACGAACTGTCCTAATTAAAACAGTCGCATCCTTGTGCCCGTGTGCGCAAGGGCGAACCAGCAGGAAGGGGGTCCCCGTCGCTTGGCTGTCCAGCGTTTCGCTCCGTTTCCATCCAGAGAGACCCCAGCCCCTTCCTTCCTCCCCTCCCCATCTGTGCCTCTCTCTCTCTCTGTTTGTCCTCAAGATCTGGGCCGCTTTCCAGATTTCCAGGGCCGGTCGTTGTGGTGTAACACAACCCCTTTGTGTTCCTAGCGTGGGGAGGATGTTTTAGTGCATTCGATCTGCCCCCAAGCTGCTTTGAATGCCGGGCATGAAAAATATCCCTTGCATGCAAGAGACGTGTTCGCAAGTGTTTGGCATCAACACCCTTCTGGACACCCCCCCTGCCCCCCCACCACGACCCCACCCCCAGATCAGGGAGGGTCCCAGCTGTGTTGCGATGGAGAGGTGGCTGAAGGACACCACTAGATCCCTCGGGGGACCCTCCCTTTCGTACGGAGGGATCCGGTTTCTGGGCTTCTTTGTCGGAGATGTTCTTGTAAGCAAGATCTCCTGCGCCCGTTTCTCTCACCGACAGAAGGAGTCCTCGGGTTACGACCGTTCGTTTAGCGACCGTTCCGAGTTGGCAACAGCACTTTTAAAAAAGGCACTCGGGGCCGTTTAGTCACACTTACGGCCGTGGCAGCATCCCTGGGGCCGCGTGATCAAGATT